ATGTATAGATCAAACCCGGATATAAGAGAAACCCGGATATAAGAGACTTTTTCTCCGGTCCCGACAACTCTCTTATATCCGGGTTACACTGTAGTTTTATTATCGTAGTAATATTAACTGCATTAGTACTATTGATCATATTATAGTAACATTATTAGTACTATTAGTCGTATCACAGTATTATTAATACTATATAGTAGCATTTTAGTACTATATAATAGTACTTTATTAGCATTATTCTTATTATTAGTCGTATTTTAGTAGTACTATTAGTATTAATAGCAGTATTATAGTAGTAGTATTCGTACTATTTGTCGTATAGTATTATTAGCAGTACTATTAGTTGTACTATAGCAGTAGTAGTACTATTCGTACTATTATTTGTATTATAATAGTATTATTAGTACAAAGAGTACTATTAGTCGCATTTTACTAGTATTATTACGATTAGTACTATAAATTGCGTTAGAGTAGCATTATTAATACTATTTGCAATATTAAGCGTATAATTGTATTATTAGTACTGTTAGTAATACAAATATTTTCCATTTTCAATAAGTTTAATTGAAGAATTGTGTACGTATATATTGTAAATGTTGTGTTTCGTAATAGGTTATAGCGAGATTGAAATTAGGCTTGGTACCTTTTGGCTTTGCTAATCTTAAAATTATTTTGTCGATATTATTTTTTTTTATTTCGTGAATGCGTATGTTCACATCAGAATGATGAATCTTTTCAAATTTCCAGAACCTTCCTCAGTATTCTTGTAAACCATAGATAATAGTTTGGTCAGACTTGTTATTTTTTTTTTTTTTTTTTTTTTTGGTGGGGTAATCTTCATTTTTGCAAATTCGACTCTTTGTCTGGGGACACAGCTCCAAGTGCATCTGTTTTGCTTCCACTGTTATCAGGTCAAGTGCTGCTAATTTTGTTACTACGACGATTACAATCTTTCATTCTTTCATTCTTTCATTCTTTCATTCATTCATTCTTTCATTCATTCTTTCATTCATTCATTCTTTCATTCTTTCATTCATTCATTCATTCTTTCATTCATTCATTCTTTCATTCTTTCATTCATGTATTCTATCAATCTTTCATTCATTCATTCTTTCAATCTTTCATTCATTCATTCTATCATTCTTTCATTCATTCTTTCATTCATTCATTCTTTCATTCATTCATTCTTTCATTCATTCTTTCAGTCTTTCATTCATTCTTTTTCATTCATTCTTTCATTCTTTCATTCATTCATTTTCATTCATTCATTCATTCATTCTTTCATTCATTCTTTCATTCATTCATTCTTTCATTCTTTCATTCATTCATTCTTTCATTCATTCATTCTTTCATTCATTCTTTCATTCATTCATTCTTTCATTCTTTCATTCATTCATTCTTTCTTTCTTTCTTTCTTTCTTCTTATAACCACCATATTATATTTCTGCTCGTTTCTTAGTTTCTTACCGCATAAGTCAAGCTCTGCCATTACCCAAGATAAAAAATGGACCATCACTGTTTGATTGCGAGCAAAACGGAAGAAAAGATATTTTAAAGGCGCTGTTTTGTTTGAAAGAAAGAACGAATAAATAAATAAATAAATATATTTTTCCGATTAATTAATTAATTGATTATTTAATGTAGAAAATATGGAGGGATCAGCATAGTACTTAATTACAACAGAAAACCGAACCCTTACTTTGTGTCCAGTAGAATCTTATATTAATACTAATCGAATTAATTACATCGAAATTGACAGCTTACTTTCTGAAGTCCTTTCTAATATTAGAATGATTTCACATGTAGGTTTTTAATTATATTTGTCAATTTATTATATTAATATGTAATAATCCTGAGGGATCAGTTTAGTACTTAATTGCAATAGAAAATAGATCCCCCACTTTATATCCATTAGAGTTTTATATTAATACTAATCTACTGATAACAGTGAAATTGACAGTCTATTTTATGAAGTCCTTTCCGTTATTAGAATGTTTTCACATGTGACTCGTTAATTATACTTGTTCTTTTATTATATTAATGTAATAATTCTTGAGGGAACAGTTTATTACATAATTACAATAGAAAAATGATCCCCTACTTTATGTCCATTAGAATCATATCAATTCTAGTCTACTGATAACATCGAAATTGACAGCCTATATTATGAAGTCCTTTCTATTATTAGAATGTTTTCACATGTGAGTTTTTTTTTTAAATTATATTTATCCTTTTATTTTATTAATATGTAGCTATTCTGGGGGATCAGTTTAGTACTTAATAACAATAGAAAACAGACCCCTCAGTTTGCGTCCAGTAGAATCTGATATTAATACTAGTCTACTGATAGCATCGAAATCGTTAGTATATTTTAAGAATCCCTATCTATTATTAGAATGTTTTCACATGTGGGTTTTAATTATTTTTGTCTTTTCATTATATAATATGTAGTAATTCTGGGCGGATCAATTTAGTACGTAATTGCAATATAAAACAGATCCCTCATTTCGTGTCCAGTAGAATTATTCGCTTACTGAAAACATCGAAATTAAAATTACCTATTTTATGAAGTCCTTTCTCTTATTAAAATGTTTTCTCATGCAACTCTTTAATTATATTTGTCCAATTATTATATTATGTAGTAATTCAGAGGGATCAGTTTAGTACTTAACAACAATGCAAAACAGATCCCTCACTTTATGCCCAGTAGAATCTCATATTGATACTAGTCTATTGATAGCATTAGAATTGTCAGCCTATTTTATGAAGTTCTTTCTATTATTAGAATGTTTTCTCATGCAACTCTTTAATTATATTTGTCCAATTATTATATTATGTAGTAATTCAGGGGGATCAGTTTAGTACTTAACAACAATGCAAAACAGATCCCTCACTTTATGCCCAGTAGAATCTCATATTGATACTAGTCTATTGATAGCATTAGAATTGTCAGCCTATTTTATGAAGTTCTTTCTATTATTGGAATGTTTTCTCATGCAACTCTAATTATATTTGTCCAATTATTATATTATGTAGTATTTATACTCTTTTCTATTCAATTTTACACAAAGGCTCTTGCATAGCCAGGAATACGTCACTTCTCTCCACAAGTTAATTAGCAGGAGCTCACATTTCTAGCCTTGATTGGCAACTTGTTTAAGAGAAGGAAAAAAACATCTGGCACATCTGGCAGTTTTTGATCATTATATCTGACAGATCTACTTTACCCTTCGTTACCTCTTTCCAATGATTTTGAATTCAAAACCTTGAAGATGACAATGGCAAAAACTACACTATCTTCGCCAAGTGTCTATGGTAAGAGAGTTAAGATGAGGACCATGTGGAGAGCCATGATCGTCTACGCCCTGAATGGATACATCATTATTTTTTTTTTTTTTTTTTTGTACTGAACAAAATATCTATCTTTTATTTCTTCCATATATTGCTTTGGAAATAGTCTATATATGCGTGACAATAGTTACCATAGCCAGTGTTGTCAAGGTTGTAACAGCGGCAGCAGTTGTTGAACAAAAACGATTTGAATGAGTCAATGGTTAAAATAACCATCTTTCTTCAATGTCTGTCTTTTAAACCAGGGCTGTAAACAAGCATATTTTTCTTTTCGCTTCCCAATTGTTTTTTGTTTTTTTTTTTGTTTTTTTTTGTTGAATATCTTTTTGCTTGTGAAGTTTCTAAAAACAGCCCAAAACCTTTTTTTTTCCTTTTTCATTCTACGCGGTTGAATTTTTTACGGTTCATCCCAAGCAAAGCCTCGTTCTCATCTATTCGTTGAGTGCACGACGTAACTCTGTTCAATGTGTGTATAGACTGGGAAACTTTTACAATAAATCAAGACAAATCCAGATGGGTGTTCTTTGAAATGCAACAAGTACTTGATTTATTAGATGATTAACCAAGAAAGGAAAACATATTAAAAAAAAAAAGAAAAGTAAGAGAGGAAGGAGAAGATAAGAAACAAATAAACGAAGAAAAAGCAGAAAAAACGGAAGTAGTGAATGAAAAAATAACAAAAAAAAGATGAAATATCAGATAACAGAAGACGAAGAAAAGGAGGAGAAACAACAAAGAAAAGAAGCAGCAGCAGCTGCAGCAGCCGAAGAAGAAGAAGAAGAAGAAGAAGAAGAAGAAGAAGAGGCCCGCGAAAACAAAATAAGGACGGGGAGAAGAATAGTAGAAGAAGGAAACGAAGAAATAACATCAGTTAAAGACAAATAAAGAAAAAGAAGAAACTAGTCCTAGAAGAAGAAGAAGAACTAAGGGAGGGAGAAGAAGAGGAAGATAATATAAGGGGGGAGGAGGAGGAGGAGAAGAAGAAGAAGAAGAAGAAGAAGAAGAAGAAGAAGAAGAAGAAGAAGAGGCCCAAAAAACAAAATAAGGACGGGGAGAAGAATAGTAGGAGAAGGAGACGAAGAAATAACATCAGTTAAAGACAAATAAAGAAAAAGAAGAAACTAGTCCTAGAAGAAGAAGAAGAACTAAGGGAGGGAGAAGAAGAGGAAGATAATATAAAGGAGGGAGGGAGAAGAAGAAGAACTAAAGGAGGGAGAAAAAGAGGAAGATAATATAAGAGAGGGAGAAGAAGAAGAACTAATGGAGGGAGAAGAAGAGGAAGATAATATAAGGGAGGGAGGGAGAAGAAGAAGAACTAAAGGAGGGAGAAGAAGAGGAAGATAATATAAGGGAGGGAGGGAGAAGAAGAAGAACTAAGGGAGGGAAAAGAAGAGGAAGATAATATAAGGGAGGGAGGGAGAAGAAGAAGAACTAATGGAGGGAGAAGAAGAGGAAGATAATATAAGGGAGGGAGGGAGAAGAAGAAGAACTAAAGGAGGGAGAAGAAGAGGAAGATAATATAAAGGAGGGAGGAGGAGGAGGAGGAGAAGAAGAAGAAGAAGAAGAAGAAGAAGAAGAAGAGGCCCGCGAAAACAAAATAAGGACGGGGAGAAGAATAGTAGGAGAAGGAGACGAAGAAATAACATCAGTTAAAGACAAATAAAGAAAAATAAGAAACTAGTCCTAGAAGAAGAAGAAGAACTAAGGGAGGGAGAAGAAGAGGAAGATAATATAAAGGAGGGAGGAGGAGGAGGAGGAGAAGAAGAAGAAGAAGAAGAAGAAGAAGAAGAAGAAGAAGAGGCCCCCGAAAACAAAATAAGGACGGGGAGAAGAATAGTAGGAGAAGGAGACGAAGAAATAACATCAGTTAAAGACAAATAAAGAAAAAGAAGAAACTAGTCCTAGAAGAAGAAGAAGAAGAAGAACTAAGGGAAGGGAGAAGAAGAGGAAGATAATATAAGGGAGGGAGGGAGAAGAAGAAGAACTAAAGGAGGGAGAAAAAGAGGAAGATAATATAAGGGAGGGAGGGAGAAGAAGAAGAACTAAAGGAGGGAGAAAAAGAGGAAGATAATATAAGGGAGGGAGGGAGAAGAAGAAGAACTAAGGGAGGGAGAAGAAGAGGACGATAATATAAGGGAGGGAGGGAGAAGAAGAAGAACTAAGGGAGGGAGAAAAA